ATATTTATCACGTTATGGGGACATTATGTCCCCATAAGGGTAGGTAAACCTGTTCGCACGTACACACACACATGCGCATACACACACACACACACACACACACAAAATATGCATTGCATCGTATTTGAATGTGGTCCAACTAAAGTAGTTGGATCAAGCCTGAAATCTAGTAACCCCACTGTGGTTTGGAAGGTGTGAGCTGGTGTGTCTGACCACCCACACTTTGAGAAGATAGCTAGGTACAAAAATGATTATGGATAAATGATGTTCACATTCATGTCCCCATAAGGGTAGGTAAACCTGTTCGCACGTACACACACACATGCGCATACACACACACACACACACACACACAAAATATGCATTGCATTGTATTTGAATGTGGTCCAATTAAAGTAGTTGGATCAAGCCTGAAATCTAGTAACCCCACTGTGGTTTGGAAGGTGTGAGCTGGTGTGTCTGACCACCCACACTTTGAGAAGATAGCTAGGTACAAAAATGATTATGGATAAATGATGTTCACATTCATACTGGTAGTGCTGCCAGCACTTCAGAGACGCATTTCAGCACATTAAAGCACATAAGACGCTGTAACCTTACTTAAGAAGGTTGGTTTTTGGTGGATTCTCTCACTGGGATCAGAACCTGCCAGCTCAAAGCTACCAGGTGAGTCACACATCTGTAGCTCTCTAACGTGTGCGTCAGTAAAGGTCTCCGCAATGAGGAATGCACTCTACGATGGACTCTTGTCCAGCTGAAGGCAATATCAAAGTGTAAGAGATCAGAGACGATGGACGGATGGATAGTTTTGAGATGCAACAGAATCAGCGGATGGTATAACATTGTCCGCGTCAATGATGCAGCACTGTGTTATTTAAATCAGCTCCGTATCGTTTCGCTTCTAAAGGGCACAGAGGTCCATTCCCGACAAGCCGTAGTGCTTTTATAATCCTCCCTCCTGCTTCCGTAGCACCTTTCTAACGAACTAATTGTGGTGTCCGACCAGACTGATGCTCTCAATCTAATGCTGAACCCGAAATCATCTGGCCTTCTAAAAAAAAAAAAAACAACAGCTCATTGATCGATTAGCACATGGCAATAATAAACGCTTTAGTCAAATAGGTAATTCACAGATGCTTTCTATATAAGTATATGCCACTTAGATATGGCTTCATTTATGTTTATTTGTGACAACAGATATATAGATGCACATATGTAATTTTTGTCAGTTACCTTCGATTTTCTGAGTCGAAAAGGGGTAGACCGAAACGACGGGTATCAGTTACACGCGTTTTTTTTTTTTTATTCTGTTTGTTAAATTGGCTTTTCTCCCGAGTTTTCCTTTTCCCAGACTCTGCTTGTTTCAATAAACAACGAAATGTTTAAAATCAATGGCATGAGAATGAGCCCCCACCCAAAGCCACCCACCCCAAATGGGAATGGATAAATTATGCTGAATGTACCGTTGGAATTTGCAATATCCGACAGGCAACGCTTGCTATTCCCATGCATGCGATATAAATATCGATGCTTTTAATATGTAGGAATACTTGGCGGATATGCAATTAAAAAGGGTCTATGATATGAGTATTGTAAGGTATTACACAAATATTAAATGAATTTTTAAATTAAACTTAGATATAAATGCGCGTATGTTCATTTTTATTTTAGAGTTTTACAATGAGATTACAAACAGCAAAATGATTTATTAAGGTGTGTGAATGACATTTTAAAGCAGGAGCAGTGATTCATCTTTTTTCGAAATATAACTCTGCGGATGAGAATATTTTTAACGATCCCCACAAGACCACACGAGTCAGTACATACAGCGACACGTCAAATTATAACTCCATTTCAAGACATTGAATGAGAAAATTCCACTATTTATGTAATGTGAATGCTGGTGTGGCTTGAAAGGCAGGAATTCTAACCAATCGACAGGTGAAGTCCACCTGAGTTGGACCAATGGGATGCCGCAAGAGGCGGAGTCGCCGGAACAAGTTAGATTGAGGGAGGACGGCTCATGTTGGAATCAGTGTCTTCAAAAAGGCGAACCTATTCAACTGTGTTGTTTTTAAAAAAATCGGGTTTTTGTCTTTATCTTGGACCGACAGTTGTACTTTTCCATCGCGCTTTGTTTAACGGCTGCGGGCTCTCCAGAAAATACGGTGCACAGGTAGGAAAATGGTTTGTCTTTTTTCTCTCGCTTATTTTTGTTTGATGCCACATCATGCCAGCGTCTGAGCGACTGATGCCTTTTCACTCTTTAAATCTGGATCAGCTACCATATAACGGAAACTTTAAATGAGAATAGTAGTACAGTCATTTGGGATTCTGTTTAATGTTTTGGGGTAGACGCATGCACCTTAATCTTGTATTTATTGTGCCACTTTGTCCACAGGGCAAGTACATATTCGTTCAGTATGCATATGGTCAGCATTTTCGTGTTACCACGGTATATATACAACCGAAATTTTTCAAATAAATGTGCTACTTCAGAATTAAACTTGAAGTGAAATTCGATTGACATGCCGGGTCCTGTTTAGGAGGCGAATTGTCTTTTTTAAGGTTTATGAACAGATTTACTTACTAAAAAAAATCTCCTATTTCTTTATGGGATGTGAAGATGACGTGACTCTTATAAGAACCCAGCAGATCGCTTTAATCATGCCTGGAAGCGGTCCCATAGCATGCGGCGGCATGGTTTCTGCCCTAGCCTTCAGAAGGTTCACCAGGCGGGGGAAACATGGTTTTCGTTTCGTGGCAAAGATCCCGTTTGTTGATCGTGTGTGACTGGGATCCCTGTCGGTGCGACGGGGAAAGTAGGTTTGCGGAAAATCTTGGAAGTTTCCACCATTGAGCATGGGAAGATGCATGTTACTGGCCTCAATTCGCATTGATACCTGCCATGCGTCAGTCTGTTTAATTTCGTGTGCTTTGACATAAATCCTCATGCACTTAAAAAGATGGTTGGATAGTAGTGGAGTAGGTTTCTAGGAGCTAAAGTTGGTGGATGTTAAGCGTTTTGATGTTTTAAAGAACTTCTTTGAGTAATAAATAGCACAAACCCAAAAATGGATTAAACAGACCTCAGGCAGAGAGAAGCATTCCTCCATATTACTGGGCTGGACCATGAAGTTGGGGAGAACATTGGGACAGTCCCAAAAATAAAGCAAGAAGAATTCCACTGCTCTTTATTAATGGTAACTGCAAAGGCGAAGCTTGTTGTCATGCCTGGTCTCTGGGTGAATTCTGACGTGGGACTGATTGTGTGAAAGATACATTCCTGAATCGGAACATCAGGCTGTGAGATTTCAGAAGCAGTGAGCAGTCTCTCTTCATTTCAACAATCTGCATCGAACCTCAGCACACCCCACCTCGCACCAGCTGTTTACAGGTAATTCAGTATGGATTCTGGCACAGGTTCTGCATGAAGCTGTTGCATGTTTTTTTTTTTTTATTTTCTTATTCATTTTATCCTGGCTGGCCATGAACACCATATGTTATGATGTCTGACCTCATGTTCGTTGAGGTTTGGAGGACGAGCTGATGCATTGCAAAAACTGAGAATGGCGGAGGGGCGGGGGGGCAGGCATAATTACATACTGTCTAGAAGAAGGCCCTCACTATCCCTCAGGACCCCTAGAAGGTAGGGTGTTGTAATGTCTGAAACTGTCCTAAGCCTCCTATTACCCTGGCTTGCTCTTAGGGTGGTTGTCTACTCGGCCGTGATCTCCGCTGTGATTAGTGTCTGCTTGCGCCGTGTGTTATTTGCTGGGTTAATTACGGTTTGTGGGAGGGCGTTTTCAGGCTGCGTTTTGGGCGATGCTGTGTGTAGAAATGCGTTCTTGACTGTATTTACATCAGCATTGCGCGTGGGACAGACTCTCACGTTCCTGTGGCTCTTGTCCTACCTCTGGATGCTGTCAGGTTGGATATCCAGTTTGACCTTCTGCGTATCTCCGGGTTGACGTACGCCTCCCCAGCATTTGTGACTCTCCGTTTGAGTCAGACTGATGGCATGGGCCCGTTCTTCTGTTAGATGGGTGGAGGATCAGTCTGTGTGCTGGAGGGATTCTGGAAATGCGGCTCTGAGTTGGCAAAGTGGGAACACTGTCCATTGAGTATATCGATCTGTAATTTAGCCGATAGCTGCACACTGTGTGCGTATAAACACGCATGGGTGCTCTTGTTGTGCTGGTTAGCCAGTTAATTGAGCGAGAAACGATGGCAAAGCTGCCGTTACAACCTATTATTAAAATTTCAGATCCTGAGAAAGTTGTATCTGGGGGTGGGGGGGGGGGGGATTCACTCCCTTTAAGCTCGCTGTCTGGGAGGGGTAGATTAACAGCTGTTTATACAGTTATTTCCTTTGGGAGTTAACTTGAGTAGAATGTATTGATCTGTAGACGTTGTCCTCGTCCCCTCCAGATGGAAAAGCTCCCTTTTCCCTTCATATTTTGTCACATTTTGTGACATGTTTTGAAATTTGATGAAAGTACTTAAGCCCTCGGTGTGTGTATAAAAGCAGAATGTTGCGACCTGATGCTGCCCCTTTGCAGATTGTTCAGGAGGCCCCTTGTACGAGAGATTTGTGGCCCTGTGTCCCCCGGGTCACCTGGGACCGTATCTGTTCTGATCACTAAGGGTGGTAAACATTCAAAACGCCTCATTCTGCCTCTGTGCATCACTGCAGAATCTGCTGAAAGCCAAACTAATTTGGAAGGTGGTCTCCACTTTTTGATTTCTGTAGCTAGCTTCCAGAAAATAATCAGAAGTATTTGTAGCGTGAGGAGCTGATTTATTTATTTAGTTTTTTTGTCTTTGTTAAAGATTTAGTTCTTTGATTTGTTTAAGAATGACTGAATACATCAGGGTATTTTGTTACTCCTCAGATTCTTTTTGTTACTCCTCAGATTCTTTTTGTTACTCCTCAGATTCTTTTTGTTACTCATGGCCAGGTTCTAAAAATTAATATAGATAATCAACCCTTGGGAAGCATATTTTATCATGGATTTATTTATGATCTAAATGGGTTGATGCATTGAGAGTTTACGAATGACATAATGATGCACAGAATGTTGCCTTGGAGTGATTCCAACAGTTTATTTTTTTAGTATGTATTATGGAAAACAGCAGCTGGTTTATTGTTATATGGAGATTTTACATGAAAATTCTATCAGTGGAAAGTGACACTTGCTTGGGAATGTTTTTTCTATATATAGATGTAGCGCAAGGATGTTTTGAAAACGCTTGATTGCTTCCACTACTATCAATGAGTCTGGAGGAATGACCTTGATGGCCAGGTATAGGACAGTAGGGAGTTTTCTGATCAGCCTTACAGATGTTGATAAAATTGGTGTCTGACCAGCACTATGACAGAAGGAACATCTTACTTTGAAGTACAGCCAGGGCAGAAGTTATATGGCACAAGCTGAAAAACAACTCTAATGCTGAACTCATGAATGTAACACTAAAACACGTCCAACATGTTCGTATTGCTTGTTAATCCGAATTGATGACTGACTGACACATGATTGACCTCAGACTAATTTATGAAAATGTTTGTGCCTGGTGATTTGCCAGTTTGTGAGGCTTAGTCCCCCTGGGATATAAAAAGAGTCACATCTAGATCTCTCTGTAGCTGTATTTGTGTTTATCGTAATTCCGAGCATCCTGGTACCAATTTAGCAGTTTATGTTTCTCAGTTTCTCACTCTTTTTGATAAGCTTCGTGGCACAATCTACCCAGAGTAAACTTCAAATCTGTCCCGAATGGTTTTACTGTGAATGAGGCGTTACAAAATGCGATGTGATTGTGGTGCTGATAATCTTGTATGTAAGGGATCAGTGATCTGCTTCAGTTGGGTCATATTCAAAAAATTCCCAGGGCCTTCGCCTGTGGCAATTTTAGGCCACAAGCCAGATTCTTGCATCAGCGCACTAGCCTTTTGGCCTATGCATTCTTGAGACGCCGATTGCGGGTTTGGCAGTGATGCATGGCACCCTCTACTGGCCTGGGGGTGGGACTGGCAGGAGCCGGGTGCATCGCCTCCCACTTCTCCTGGCCACAATGGTTATGGCCCACTGGCAGCCCTAATCGATGGAATGGCATGGGACCTGAGAGTGTAATGAAAAACGAAAATCAAATTTGCTGACTAATTTCGCGGGGAATTTCCTGAAAATTTTATTTTTTTATTCTTTGATCGGGTTTGCAGCAATGAAACTCGCGGTTTGCATGGTACAGCACAGTTCACTTCCCCTTCAATAAGGATATTGCATTGCCCCGTGTTTTGAAATATTGTTTGTTTAGCAAACTTCTGGATTTGTGGTTTCAGCTAAATACTTGCTGTAAACAGTTCTGTCTGTATTTGTTCGGAAGGAGCGAGAAACTCTGCTGATTTCTGGAAAGGTTGTTCCCCATACCGTGCAGTTGGGGGTGGGTGGGTGTATTGCCCGTCAGGTATTTTTATACCGAGAAATCGACAAAATCTAGTCAATGATTTCTTCATTTCGGGCCTGATGCAACCTAGTTTTTGTGAACATGTTGCGATAGGTTTGTCTTGCACATCTCAGCAATTTTGAACCTCGTGATTGCTGTAAGCTTCCCTTTGCCATCAAGTTTTCAGTCTTTATAGTTAAAAATTTGGCCAGGTTTGATGAAAAATCCATCGATTTTATTCTTGAGTCAGCATAACTCTTAAACTTTTAAGCTTAGAACCTGATCAACTAACAGGTTGGCTTAACAGGCTGATGCCCCTAATATGATCTGCTCCCCCCACCCCCCAACCAGTTTAGCATCCTTGGATGATGGTGGATTGAGATACCGTCACAGGAAATTGAGCCAGCCGCCATGTTGGACTTGCACATATCCTGGTGATTGACAGCTGAGGTCTTGTTTCGCCCCTCCCCCTGCCGGGAGCCAGGAACACTCATTGGCTGGGAAAGACAGGTGCAGGCTATTGACGAGCCTCTTTCCATTTCACTCAACTTCCTTTTCAGCTGTTCATATGAATGTTATTGGAATGTATTGCTGTCAGTCCCCCCCACTCACATTTCTGCACATCTCCCCTTCACTTTATTGAGGTTAATTTATTCCCTCATTCCAGGGGATCCGTCCTGTTGTGCCACACTCAGAAAGATGTCAAGTGCCTGTATGAATCTAATCTCCCCCCGGAGACGTCTGCGTCACCTCTGCCGTTTATTTAAAAATCCTTCCAGTCCACAGAGCTTTCTTACATAGTGGATTTTTCCTTGCCAGTTTGTGTATCTAACTGACTTTCTGAGCTGAGGCCAGGAATCATTCACTGCATTACCGTGAAAGTCAACAGAATATATTCAAAGATATCTGTTTTGGTTTTATACACAGCGTGTAAACAACACAGTTTTGTGTTGCTGTTTTACACGATTGTGGTTTGTTGGCACAGGCAGGCTGGGCAAGGGGGGTGGGTGCAGGTGGACGGCAGTGTGCAGTGTGGAAATGGGACACCAGTCTTGGACTGATGAGACTTTCTGCTTCTTTATTAACGATTCTGCGGCAGTGTGGAGCACTTTGAGACAGCCATCCAGCTTCTGCAATAATACACACTTACTACAAACGGATATTCCTGTGTCCACCACGAGGTCCCTCCTCCAGACCCCCCCCCCCCCATAACCAGATGTGCTCACAATTTCCCTCTCGATATACATTATAATTACAGCCTTGGTCCCCCCCCAGTCCATGACTATGCTCTAAACACACATGTCAGGAACCTCCTTCCCCGTACACAAGTTAAAACATACATGTTATTGCATGTTATAAATCGTGGGCTACAATGGGGCTGCATTGCCCCAATTATGCAGTTAGTTCACTGTGTTTGAGTGGGACCTGCACCTTAATAAATCGCATGTCTAATTTACTGTAGTTAATTTTCAAACACGTTTGGTTTAATCATTGCATTTACTCCTCAGTTCTCCAGCATGCATTTGCACCATCTCGTCTTAAAGGGGTGGCCCACCTAAACCAGCAGTGTGATTCTGAGCCGGGCTTTTGGTTTGTGCTACCTTTTGAGGTGAACCGCCGGTTTCCTGAAGCCTTGCTGAGTGAGGCTGAGCTTTGCATGGATTTACCTATGCAACAAGATAGTTAAGACAGTGAACCGTAACCGGAACTGTCCTGTTCGTGATACGATCTGCTATTTGACCCCCCTCCCCCCTTTCCCGGTCGCCGTTGGGACGAGCCTTCCAGCCTGGGAGGAAATGGCAAGCGTGTGCCGTTACTGTGGTCGATCCAGATGACCGATAGCCGTGTGGATGGGGCGATGGCCTGGATGCAGACGGGAATATTCAAAATCTCCTCACGCGGGTGGATAACGTCGATGGATGTGCTGGTGACTCACCCAGCCTGATATTCTCCTGA